ACATTTTAAAGAAAGATTTTTAGATAATTTTGGCTTTTTATACAAAATTTTGTATCAATTAAAGAGTATTATTTTTGTTGTTGTTGAGTTAAGATGTCTTTATCCTTCAGACTATTATACTTTATTAAATATTCATCTTTTTTTTCCTGTAACTCAAAAAAATAAAACTTATTTTACAAATGACAAGACACACAATGTTGAAACGGTTACAGGAATATCTACAATTTCAACGAGAAATTGCTATGCAAAGAATGCAGGAACAGGAGCGGGAGATGCAGATACGACAAGAGCAACAGAAACAACAGTATCAAACTATGATCCCTGGGCCTCCCGGTGTTTACCATCCACCCCAGGTACCCTACCTTCCTGCACCTGGATATCCCGTTCAGCAATCGGCAGACGGCTCCCCAGGTCATGTACAGTACCCTGGTCAGTATGGACAACCACCTATGGGTCCTGGCCCTGGACAACAACCTGTTTATCCACCGTATAATATTCAGAGTAAGTTTTTCTTTGAATACACACACACCATTTTTTGTTTTTTTTTCAGTTATGGGCACAATATACAAGTGGCAATCAATCCTGTTGATGGAGCTGCTAGCTGACTGAATCCTGATCTGATGTTTAGCAAGGTTTAAAATTCCAATTCTTAACTAGCTGGTACCATTTTATAAGTGAGGAAATTTTGGTGAAAATCTTTGAAATGAGGTTAATGTGGCTATTACACTGAAATAGGCAAGTAATAATTAGTTGGACTGAGAAAAAAAAACACTTTAAAACATTGGTCAGTTGTTAAACTGATTAGTTTACTTTGCTAAAAGTGGCAGTACCTCACAGGGCCCCGATGTTTGTACAGCTAAATAATATAATCATGCAGTGAACAGTTTGAATTTATACACCATAAAAGTACTGATTAGCCAATAATCATTCTGAAAAAAAAAAAAAATATGCATTGCTTGTGGGGAAAAAAAAGTTGTAATTATGCAACAGTTACTTGAAGTAAAAATAGCTTCAAACAGTAACAGTCAGATTTAATCAAAGTAAATCCATCAACAGTGGTTTACATTTATTTTTTGATGGGCTATTTAACAGACTGTTATAAACCTGATCTAAGCCTAACTTTACTAAATCTACAAATTAAGGTTTCATTAGTTATTCCCAGGTACATCATCCATGTAATAAGTTGTTTACTTTACTTCTAGGTTTGCCTGGTTCCCAGGTACATCATCCATGTAGTAAGTTGTTTACTTTACTTCTAGGTATGCCTGGTTCCCAGGTACATCATCCATGTAGTAAGTTGTTTACTTTACTTCTAGGTATGCCTGGTTCCCAGGTACATCATCCATGTAATAAGTTGTTTACTTTACTTCTAGGAATGCCTGGTTCCCAGGTACATCATCCATGTAATAAGTTGTTTACTTTACTTCTAGGTATGCCTGGTTCCCAAGTACATCATCCATGTAATAAGTTGTTTACTTTACTTCTAGGTATGCCTGGTTCCCAGGTACATCATCCATGTAGTAAGTTGTTTACTTTACTTCTAGGTATGCCTGGTTCCCAGGTACATCATCCATATTCTGCTCCTCCAGTTTTACCAACACCTGCCCCTGTCTCTCAGCCTGTCCCACCAACTTGTTTGGGTTCTCTACCGGCAGGAGTTAGGGGTCCTCCTAACCATCAAGTTGTGCAGGTAGTCCAACCAATGCATGTGCCCTCACCTGCAACTAATCACACCATGCCCCAGCAACTTCAAGGAGTTTCTACAGCTTCGGTGATGGGAACTCACCAGATGGTGCTACCAACAGAGCAGCCAGCTGAAGCTGAATTAATTAGTTTTGATTAAAAATGTTAGGCATTTTGGGAGCATTTTCAATTAAATTCATATATATATATATATATTTTAAAATATAATAAGTTTCTGAAAGAATATGTATGAAGCATCGATCTAGATCTGACCTACTGGGAATTTGTAAGCTTATTTTAACATGTATATATGTTTATTTAGTTTCTTGTAATATCTTTATATATATTTTTTTTCTTCTCATTAAGCCACGTTACATAAAAATTGTAACTAAGATACCTTTGGTTCTCTCAGTTAAAAAAATTCTTTGTAAACCCATGCAAGTGTTTGTATTCAACTATGGTGAACCAGATGTGATGAAGCTTTGTTTACTTGTTACTAGAGGGCGCATGCATCGTTATTTATGTATTATAGGATTGAAGTATTTCGAATATTGAAATGTTGAAGTTCAATCAGACAGTTTTCAGAATTTTTTATTTCCTAATCCTATAAAAAAATTACCAGACCTCTCAGTGAAACCCATAAAAAAATACATTTGAAGGTAGACCTTTATTTTTTAATCAAAAATGTTGTCACAAAATTTTCAGTACTGTAGTCATGACATTACCATAACTATCTGGAATGGATATATGTAATGACTTTGTAGCATTTTTGATGTGGAGAATAATTCAGACTTGATTATTGGAATTATTAAAATTTGGGTGGTAAAACCTGTCATCCTGTGAATAGTGATTGATTTCTTTGTGGATATTTTACAAACGAGAATACAAAATAACATTTATTGTTAGTCAAATGTAAGTTATTTGTATATTTTGGTTTACAGAACCACAAGTATTCTGTAAATGTTACCCTCCACCCACCCCTACAAAATACCAAGTATTCTGTAAATGTTACTCTTCACACACCCCCTACAAAATACCAAATATTCTGTAAATGTTACTCTCCACCCACTCCTACAAAATACCAAATATTCTGTAAATGTTACTCTTCACACACCCCTACAAAATATCAAATATTCTGTAAATGTTACCCTCCACCCACCCCTACAAAATATCAAATATTCTGTAAATGTTACTCTCCACACCCTTACAAAATATCAAATATTCTGTAAATGTTACCCTCCACCCACCCCTACAAAATATCAAATATTCTGTAAATGTTACCCTCCACCCACCCCTACAAAATATCAAATATTCTGTAAATGTTACCCTCCACC